GAAAAAGAAAGCGCCCCCATGGGGCACGGTCAGCCGTAATCCCTTCTCCTCCATCTCTCTCTCCTGGGGTTTTGGACACCCATGAGCACGTGCCCAGCATGTTTCTCAAACCGCTGTGTTTGGGACGCAAACCACCTGGTCAGCCACGTGGGATCCTCAACCAGGCCACACACTGGCCCAAGCAGTTTTTTTTTTTTTTTTGAGAGATTTTCACTGTAGGGCGTGTGCGCTCGCCAGACAGACAGAGAGAGACATAGAGACAGAAAGCGAGAAATCACCCCCCAGGGGGGATGGTCACGCCGCAATCCCTTCTCCTCCATTCTCCTCTCGGGATCTTGGGCACGCACGCACACGCGCCCGGCGTGAGTTCTAAGCCACCGGGTCCAGGACATGAACCGCGGTCGACTACGTGGGAGTCCAGCGACATAGCCATTACGCTAACTGCTGGTTCCCCCAAGCAGTTTTTAAAGTTGTTCTCAGCTGTCCAGTCCAAATGACCTAGTCTACCACTACCAGATATAAAAAGTTGACTTCCCTTGTGCGTTGGGAAAAGGCTAGAAACCTGGATCTCGTGTGCGGAAAGCCCAGGCCCACGCCTCGCCACGGAGCTCTGTCTGGAGAGCTTTGCTGTAGGCGCTGTTGCTGGGGTCGGCGGCACACGGTAGTTTATAGAGAAATAGCCACAGAGCAAAATGGATTGCCTCGTTCCCTTGCTTAACAATGCTGGGATCCTGGACCGGCAGAGGGTATGGTTGTTAGGGCAGCTGGGTCCTACATGGCTGACTACGTGGTTCAAGTCCCACGCTCAGTGGCTTGGAAAGCACACTAGGTGTATGTGCATGCGTGCCCCAAATCAGGAGGTGAAGGGACCGTAGCATGGTCATGCCACCTGGGGGGTGATTTCTCACTCTCTCTCTCTGTCTCCCCCCATCTCTGTAAGCACACATGCCCCATAACAAAACTTCTTAAAAATGTATTTTATTTTTAAAGAATTCTTTATTTAATTTTATTTATTCATTCATTTATTTTAATTTGACCAGAGAGGGAAAGTGAGAAAGCAAGCCACCAGGTCTGGGACTCAGCCATGTGGGAGTGTCCAATGCCTTAACCACCACACCACCTGCTGGCCCCACCCCATAACAAAATTTAAAAAATAAATAAATAAAGCCAACCAGGATCTAAAATGCTAAGGCCACTCTTTATGAAATAAAACCCCTTGCTGGTCACAGTCTTCTGTCCTCAGGACAGTCTCTGAAGGAGCTAAGCTGTGACCCGGGCGAGCGGAGCTCCAGGAAGTTCCTTGGCCGGCTCAAGAGCTCAAGCAGAAGCCCAGCCAGGCTTTGGAGAAGGGCCCCCAGTCTTGGTGGCCCTGGAGGTTTCCTTCTGTGTGTGCTGCCAGTCCCCATTCCCTGTGGGTGTGTGGGAGAGAGGCCCTGTCTCCAAGGAGATTTGATCCAAGTGTCCTTGCTGTCCCTGTGGCAGGAGGCATGACAGATTGGGGGCCCCGGGAGTTCTGCCAGACGCTTCAGCCTGGCTACTAAGCAAAAGGCCCCATAGCAGATTCTGCCAAAGACATGCCAGATGGGCCAAGGGGCCCGACGTCCCAGGTGGCTGGCCAAGGCAGTTCCAGCTGGCCCAAGGTATGCAAAGGGGAGAGCCATGTGACCAGGGCCAGAGCTCGCCCTGGCTACCTGAGTGGGAGCGAGGAGTGTACACCAGGAAGTGTCCCTGGCACTTTACATGAATTAGCCACAGGGCAGCATGGCTATTTACTTACTGGTGGCCGAGAAAACCAAGGCCCAGACCCTGGACATGGGCTGAGAAGAAAGGGCAATGCTCCCCCGGAGGAATCAACAGGAGCTAGCGATCCTGCGGCCATATCCAAGTGCTCTGGAATTCTGCAAGATGAGGTCCTCCTGCAGCCTCCTTCGGCTTGGTTTGGGTCTGACTGCCAAAGAATCTTCAGGAACTACAGAGCTTTCTCGGGGAGAGTTTGCAGTGCCCGTGTGCTCACAGCACAGCCACTGCCAAGGCCCAGGTGAGGCGCCCTTCTGGGTGTCCTCCACCTCTGTTCCCGTATACCCAAGGGAGGGACACAGCTGCAAGTGCCTGAGGCTCTGGAAAGGCCCCTGAGGGTGCCAAGGGAGCCGGGGTGGGGGTGAGACCCTGTGATTT